CTGCCACATTTTTTCACACATAATTCACATTTTGCACATGCTTTAATATGTAATTTGCTTGATGATTTAATTATTTTTTTTGCGATATTCAAGACAAGGCTTTGGAAAATTTATAAAATAGTATGTGTTGGTTTTGAATGATTTGTATCGTGTATCACTTTTACATACTCCATAACACCGTTTTGTTGTTCCTTTTCGTACATATAACATAATTATAATGGAGATAAAAAAAAATTTCTGATTATTTTGACTTACTACTTTTTTTTAACTTTTTTTACAATTAATGAACTTCAATTTATATTGTAATTTTTAAAACATGAGTTGCGGGCTCTTCAACATGGTTGTTTACAAAAACAGTACGAAAAAGATGGCTGATATTGACGCATGCGCACAAAAATGTGATGAAAAGGCCTATTGAATATTGTTTCTTGGTTTATGAGTGCATAGTTTTCTTTCCAGTTTTGTATTTTTCCACAGCTACAATGACCATCAGCAAAAAACTAATGTAAAAACATAATTTTTTATAATCTATGCGTTAAAACAGATTCCCTTCAAAATCTTCACATTTGGATCGATACTCACAGAATAGTCTCATGAGTATAAAATCCTCACTATGTGATGGATTCCTTACACGTGACCAACACTGGTTTGGGTACTTAATCATATACATAAGTTGAGGTCCAGATCACCTTTGGGATTTTCTGTACTTCAGAACTAAAAACAGTACTTTTCACGGATTCCAAACACGTCAGTACTTTTTCTGAAATTTTCTCTTTTCGAATTTGTTATCTATTCAATATATAATGAATAAAATGACGAAGAAATAGTTGAACATGTTAGAATTTCAGAACTCAAAGCGCAATACGAGCTCTCTCTATATAAACTGATGGATGTAGCCCGTTACTACAGGGTAGGAGATCATCATGAAAATAGAGAAATAAAAGTTCCTATATTTTTATACCACTTGTATTTGAACTAACGTTACTGCAATACGGACATTTTCAAACGAATACAATAAACAGAGTTTATTTACCAGGCTTCTCTTGATATAATTAACAGAAGCTTCGCCGGGAACTCAGCGGTCTTGCTTTACGCAATGCTGTCACCTTAGTCACTTTTTCATACTTCTTGTTTATGAACAACAAATGAAAAATTATATGAAATTCGCCTCCTCTTCGGAAGACACTTCGGTTTTTTCTTCCGCACACATACGTTATTATAGAACTGACGACGTCGTCGAATCCATTGACATCCAACCTGGTTACTGGCGTAGGGGGCCGCCAGTCCTCTCATTTTGTCTTTTACTTCAATATTTGAAATATTGTAACGTGATTTATTTTAACTACACCTCTCTTTTGGTCTCCACTCCGACCAGAACATCCACGTGCCATCTTTGAAGACGTTTGTTATTGGCACAACCGTCCTCTGTCGTGGTCGGAGAGCAAGTCCGCAATAGGAGTTAATACATTTTGCACTGACTTGGCAACTCTTCAACTGTCAGTTTTGAAATTGCATGCATCAGTTTTATCGATTGTTAACTTGTGCCATAGGTTTCTATGGCACAAAATTGAATGCAAATCAAATAAAATAAGATAGGTACATTGACTATATGATTACAATCGTTGATAATTACAAATATACGTTATTTGTTAAAGGTCAAATTAGTGGTCTGGTTTCATGTTGATCTAACAAAGAGATCATGGAAAATTCACTTATATGAACCCCCTTGGGTATTTACCGAATGTTTACTTGAATGTTTGAAAGTGGTTGACAATATTTCATGGTGAATTTTACTAGTTCGGACTTTCATTGTCTAATATGATTCTAATATGTTTCAAAATCTATGGAAGAACAAATAAAATTAGAATGAATAGCTAAAATATCAATTATTATAAGTTGTACAGAAAAGGATAGTACGATACCCGTTTCAAAACACATGTATTGTATTGGTATAGACACGGCAATTCTATGTCATATTATTACTCTGAGTTTGTCACGAAAACCTTTTCAGTGCACAACCACAGGCACAACTAGAACTAACTCCTAACTCACTTATTTTGGACGATTCGAAACAGTACGAACTGAGAACCAGAACAAACTTACTGACAAGTTATTTATTTTTGTTGATGTCATTTTTCAGAAAGATGAATAAACCTAACTTTTTTTATTTATATTTTTCAACAGCGATGAGAGTATTGAAAATATAACTCGGAAAAATTTAAGTTATTAAAATAAACTATGGAAGGATACTATAAGTGGCTATCAGTATAGAGTTATAAAACATAAATTAAACATATATAACTGTATAAATGCAATAAGGGTATTTTTCCCAGTAACATTCTAAATAATGTACTTATTTCAACAAATAATAGTCGTACTTAATATAGTCGTATGTAGTTATCAAGCAGGAGACTGTGGTTGCAGTCTCAACCGAAATAATAGATGTCAGGGAGACTCCAACCCAAGTCACAAATATATGAAAGAATCAAATGAGGAAACCGGCAATAAATTACAACATCCTTTTGAAACGTCCAATATGGTGCTAATAGACGGGGATACATTTGAAATGGGAACAAACAAACCAGTGTTCGCAACTGATCATGAAGGTCCCCTCCGAAATGTGACTATAGGCTCATTTTATTTAGACAAGTTTGAAATATCAAATCAAAATTTTTACGATTTTGTTAGAGAAACAGGGTACAAAACTGAAGCAGAGACTTTCGGCGACAGTTTTTTATTTGAAATGTCACTGCCTGAGAAAGATAGAGGAGGGTATAAGGACGTAAGGGCAGTACAAGCTCCTTGGTGGATTAAAATGAAAGATGTTTATTGGAAACATCCTGAAGGACCCGGATCAACTATAGAAGGTAAGTTGGAACATAATAAATACAATAAAATCTAAAGTACTAATGATTTGTACAAACTCAAAAATCTACTTGATATAGAGGTTACCTAATATTGAAAAAGATACATATTTATTCTATGCAACATAAATATTTTTTTCCCACACCAGGATTTTTATCTAATGATTTGTACAAACTCAAAAATCTACTTGATATAGAGGTTACCTACTATTGAAAAAGATACATATTTATTCTATGCAACATAAATATTTTTCTCCCACACCAGGATTTTTACTTACTCTGATCCTCGTGAAACTCACTAACTCCAAATTGAAGAATAATTCAATGCTAGGGGTCGTTGACTATCTCACAAATAAAAATGTGAGCTTGTTTTTTACTGTCATAATCATGTATGCTAACACCATATTTGGAATTAATAACTATAGAGGATACTATGCAGTTGTACTCAGTTCTCTGGGAGCCAAATCCTGATTTATTTGAAAACAAAAACTCTCATTTTCAAAAACAGGTAAATAGGTTGAGCACCAAGTGTTCAGGTCTACATGTACAAGAAATGGGTCCTGCAATGTTTACCTGTTTTGCATATGTAATGGATTTAGATTGAAATAAGTGAAGATGAACAACTTATTAACCAGTCTGCTAAGATCACTACTCCATTAAGAATCAATAAAATAAGTTATTTGATATAGTTCATATGTTTTGATCTTGATGATGATAGTTTCTTTTATACTGTATGAGCTACATCTTACTGTTAGCTCATTAGCATTAGTAGATTCAGAAAGTATCTGAACAATGTTTTCATTTAAACATATCCTAGTTTCATACTTTTGCTGTCACAAACATGAAAGATTCTTTTTAAACCACGGTTTATAATTTGATATATTATTAACTTCATGGAACATTTCTCTTAAGAATTATATGTATTCATGAAAAAGATGATAAAATTTTTACTAGAAACGAATTCTTTACAAACTCTTCTTTTCAGATAGAATGAATCATCCTGTTATTCATGTGTCTTGGAATGATGCTGTGAAATATTGTAGTCATTTAGGAAAAAGATTACCTACAGAAGGAGAGTGGGAAATGGCTTGTAGATCAGGCTTGAGGCAAAAACTGTACCCTTGGGGGAATAAACTGAATCCAAAAGGGCAACACTGGTAAGATATAAATCTTCATCAATATGTTTACTAGCCCAAAGAAATATAATGAAATATTTTTTTATCTAGATCATCCAGTTTTATTTTTGTTTTCTAATTGAAATTGTGTTCTTTCAATAGTTTTTTGTGACCGCCAGTAGACATGTGGTCTCAGAAGGACATTTTGCTGCTGACCACCTGTGGACACTGTTGTTATGTTAGTTTTTCTTTGTTGTCACCCGCAGACCAACTTGGTTATTTTCTTGTTTACATATAAACACTCAGAAATGGCTCGACGTCGCACCAATGAAGAGCTAGCAGCAGTAGAAGTTGCATCCATCTTTGATATTCTCTGGAACTGCGAAATTGAAAAATACACGCAAAACCCAAATAGAAAAGTCAAACTCCAAATGTGGCCAGTCTCCCATTACATGAAACTGACTTTTGGGAAAGAAAGTTTTTGGCTTTCTACAACTCCATCTTGATACAAAAAAATGTGGGAATCTTCCAAAGAAAGGAAGCAAGTAATCAATTTGAAAATAAGTAACTCTATACATGGATGTGTAGATCATGCAAAGAAGCAACTTTCAGACACAAACTGGAAGAAATCCCTCCTGAAACATTGAATTACACGAAAGAAAAAAATTCTTTCGAAACAAATACGTCTATATGAACACTGAATTATACAGAAGATACTTTCCTCTACTCAGCTTGTATTCCAAACATACGTTATGGAATAAAATCAGATATTATTCACAGGAGTTCTACTTTAAATGAATGGTAACAAATTTCACTTACATGGAACACTGTCATCCTCACTGGTAGACATCGATGTTTCGCCGTAAGACACTTGCCTTAGAGCTCTTCAGTACCAATCTGGATAACATTATAGAAAATACACACAATTCCTTCATTAATTACGATTTTTAATGTCACGGAATAAGTTTGATCTACTTATGTCATCGATGACATTGTAATGACATTTATTCACCTATTTGATTGCTTCCTTTCTTTGGTAGATTCCCACATTTTTTTTGTATCAAGATGGAGTAGTAGAAAGCCAAAAACTTTCTTTCCCAAAAATTAATCACTCCTAAAAATATATCCCCTTCAATTCAAATGAAATTGACATTGTCCACCAGTGGGTACACGTTGCGAATATTAAGAAGTTGAACAATTGTTAATTGATTTTTCCATAATTCAGTAAATAGTTATGGAAAGAGGTAATGTGAATTAAATCAGTTTAAAAAGAAGATATTATGAATGATATAATGGAAGGAAAAATCAATGTATTTCGTAACTGAATTCTACTAAACTATTTCATATCTGCAGAGGTTGTTTCTTGCTTTATTCGTTTTCAATTGCAACTTGAGAATTAAAAATTGTGAATAATATATAAACTCGTCTAACCTTACGGGTTCTCTGTAAGAAATAAGGCTATTCAATTATTACAGTTACTTTTATTCTACTTATAAGATATGAGAAAAAATCTTGAATCTGTTAAATTGATGGGGGATAAAAATTAAATACATGCCTACTTGTCTGAAGGTGGTTGACAATGTTTCGTGGTGTATTTCATCAGTTCGAACTTCCATTGTCTAATATAATATAAATTGATTTGAAATCCCTGAAATTACAGATTCTTTCAGGGATTTCAAATCAATTTATATTATATTAGACAATGGAAGTCCGATCTGATAAAATACACATGCCTACTTATTATTTTCTGAGTAGTTGGCTTTTGAATGTGATTTCCAAACATCAACTGGTTTATTCTGAGTGAAAGGATGAAAAAACCAACCTCATTAAGTCTTCGCACAAGATGTGCGAAGATGCTGCGATAGCAGCATAGGCCTCTGCTATAGAGTTTTTACGCAAAATTTGATACAAATTCTTTAACCCATTTGTTTTAACAAACGAAAATCGTCGAGTTCTTAAAAACTCGTCTAACTGTAGTGGTTGCTGTAGTTGTTTCTCACAAACTGAATACGAGCATAGTGATGAATCTACCCAAATACATTTTTTCATCACCCTTTCCACTCCTTAACAAAGGAGAAAAACTATAATTGGAATTATTTGGTATTTGCCTTGTAGATGTAGACATCTAGTTTAGATAATAATAGTCGATGAAAATATATGTTAGGTATTATATGCCTTTCCTCTACAGTATAACTCAGATTTTTGTTCTATTTGAATGAATCAAATTACTTCCATTTTTTATAGGGCCAATATCTGGCAAGGGGAATTTCCGAAGGTTAATACTGCAGATGACGGTTACATATTTACCAGTCCTGTGGACGGGTTTCCTCCAAACAAATTTGGTTTATATAACATGGCAGGAAATGTTTGGGAGTGGACTCAAGATGATTGGCTAGGAGATTCTGTAAGTGTTACAAAATATGAAAGATTGAATATTGTTTGTAAGGGTTTTGCTAGAGTGACTATGCCGGTTGCCAGCTTGAAGCTTTCCTGGGGCTATCATGAGTTGGTTATTTCTGCTGTTTCAATATAGTAGTTGGAAACGTGATGACTTTATATTGCGGAATTTGAATAACCTTTTCGTCCGAAATGGTAGTGGAAAAATAATTTGCCAAGAGTTACTATCCATACCACTACCATAGTTACTATAATAATGATAATAATGAAAATAGAATTTATTCATCAATTAAAAATTATACATACATACTCACATGCAAGTTATATTCTCCAAATACATGGTTGATGGTAAGTTTCCAAAAACTTCGAGAAACATTTAAAATAGCATTTTCGATTTTTTTTAGTGTAAAATTCATGGCATGACTTCTGAAGCTCTTTACACCTATTTTGGAGGTCAGCAAATTGACGGTAGTGCTTAGTGCACCCTGTTCTTTTTCATCATTTATGAGATGTCTTTTTCAATGCTGAACAACTTTTCCAAATAGCAATTCCCAAAATTTTTCATAATGAGAGTACTTTAAATTGAAGGGGTTATATTTTTAGGAGTGATTAATTTTTGGGAAAGAAAGTTTTTGGCTTTCTACTACTTCATCTCGATACAAAAAAATGAGGGAATCTTCCAAAGAAAGGAAGGAAGTAATCAATTTGAAAATAGGTAACTCTGTTTCAGGTGGACCTTCTTTCAGTTTGTGTCTTAAAGTTACTTCTCTGCATGATCTACACATCCATGTATTTTCAAATTGATTACTTCCTTCCTTTCTTTGAAAGATTCCCTCATTTTTTTGAATCGAGATGGAGTAGTAGAAAGCCAAAAACTTTCTTTCCCAAAGAGTACTTTACTTTTGTCTCAAAATCAAATATTTGAAGGCTCCTTGTATATTACGTGGGTTTTACTGTATTTTGTTAGTGCATGTTTAGTTTTAGGGGATGCACAAACTTTTATCAAGAATAACTTTTTTGTTGAACATCCCTCAATAAATAAGTTTTCCATATGGGGCATACTTTGGGGATGACACTGTATAAACCTTCCTGTTGAATCACGTAATATTTTTAAAAAATGCATCAAAATACATTACGTGGCATAGTAAGCATACATAGGGAGAGACATCGGGAAGCAAATTTTTTTTGAAATAACAAAAAATGTTTCTTCTGAATGAGAGTGAATGTTTTAAACTCAGTAGAAACATTTTTAATGATGAAAAGATAAATTGAAAAAAATATCATTTTGGTTATTTTCAGAGGAAGGATGTGGTTGTTTTAGATATTTTTACTAGTTTATATCAAATTATGCACATTATTTAAACCGAGATCATGACATCAAGATGAGGATTTCATAACACTATATTTATTGTTGAGTGAAATTATTATGTTGTCATTAAGTTTTATTCTGCAATCCATAATGCAAAATACTGAAATTAGTCTGTTCACCGAAACGAGAGGAGTTAATCTGCACGTATTTTTCACAGGTTCAGTATAACTGGTTTAGAAGTTGGCAAATATTGGATTATTCCTTCAAACAATAACAATTATTATAAGTTTGCTTCAGTAAATATGTTTTGGATATGGTAAACTTGAAATTTATAAATCATCATATAATAGTATCACTGTTTGATTCAAATTCCTCAATGTTTTTTTAAATTTCTGGTACATTTTAGGCTACTGAATTAGTATAAAACATATCCATTCGAAGATCCGCATAATTAAAAATTATAATTTTTCAATGTTACAAAAATCACAGATAATAAAACACAAATTTCAACCAAATTCATCATATATTTATAAGTAACAAAAATATACCTACTTAAATCATTTTCAGGATTCCAAAGTTAAAAAAGGGGGTTCATTTCTCTGTCATGAATCATACTGTTGGAGATATAGGTGTGCAGCAAGGTCGTCGAATACAAGAGACAGTTCAGCCTCTAATCTGGGATTTCGTTGTGCAGCTGATAAAATTTAGGTTTCAACAAAAAAAATTCAATCAAATCGGCAGATTACAATAACGTACTTATAATATTCCTGCCAAAAGGTCTTCCAAATATATTAAAATATTTAAAACTTGTTGTATAATCATTTTTGAAATAAATTATAAACTATTGACAATAAATTGAACCTAACTTTATTTACATCCCATTACGTTATACACATTATTGTGTATAACGTTATCCAGAGAAAATTAACTTGGAATGTCAGTGACTTGGTACAGACTTATCCTAAAATATTTTTGTTTTTGAGCAGTAGAGAAGAACTGCATTCTCAATCACAGTCATCAATCAAAATAGAAAACATTTTTGTCTCAAGATATTTTCAAATGGAAGAACAAAGAGGTTTTTCTGAGGAAAATATTTTAGAAATGTTGAGTTTCTTTACAAACATGAATATCTACAAATATGTTGTCATAAATTATCTTTTATTCTCTTCCATTTAGATAATATATTTTCTAACAACGAATTTAACACACTGAAAAAATGTATTTTTCAATAATTTGCCACATGAGATGAAACTTTTCCAAGACGTATTCATTCATTTGAAATATGTCCAAAGTACTGGTTGGAAGTGTAAATGAGGGATATGAACTGGAGCTAATATTGTTCAAAGAGCCAAATATCTATGTTTTCAAAAAAGTTTTAATCACTGATTTTTTTTTCAAGCAAAGCAAAGTAGGTACCAACATATTACTGGGGTTCTAATTCAAAGGACAAGTTTCAAAACATTCAACCAATTTCTTGTGAAAAATTACTACTGGAAATAAATGAAAAAGATATTAGAGTTGCAATTTTTGTGAAGCAGTCCATCCAATTATTATTATAAGCAAATATTTTGAATATATATTTGAATTTGAAGAAAGGGGAATTATTAGCAGCAATTGATGATGAATAAATAATAAGGATACACACTCTCTACTAGATGAGAAGGAGAATAATAAAGCAGTAGTTTGATTTTGAAGAATTTTCTAGATCAGTCTGAATATTACAGTAGATCCAAAGACATACGATGCAGTTTATGCAGTGTGATTGCTTTGATCAAATCACACCACGACATATAAAACCGTTTCTATTAATCCAATGGATTCATCTATGGGTCCATGTGGAATGTTAGCGCATTTCTATTGGTTGAAACAATCCATCAGCATCATCAATTTTCTGTTAAATTCAAAAACTTGCCTTCTAACATTCAATACCATATGGTTCGAAAATAAAAACCTGAGACAATTACTGAAAATGCTGTCAAAAAAATAATTAGAAAACGGGTTACATAAATAGCATTAAAAAAATATTTAAAAAGTTATATGGAGAAAAGAATTTATTTGATACTCTCTTTTATCCTTATAGTAATGGGCAGATCATTTTTGAGTTTTGTTTCAAAGTATGATGATTAAAAAATTGTCTCTATAACTTCTGAATTCTCTATGTCCTTGGAAATTTTCAAATAATCCAAGGACAATGTCCTATTAAAGAATACATTCCTAAAAACTTTTCCTTAAAAACATTCAAAGAATGATTGAAATATATGAAATATATTTGTTTGAGCCTGCTTCTTCTTTTCCTATTTCCTCTTCAAAACTTTAAAAAACTCATCATTTTATTTCCAATTATTCAAATGTTGGTCAATAGCTAGAGATACATTGCATACATTTCTATTCACATCCCTTTTACAAATATTCACAATTTTGATACTTATTTCCTTAGCCCCAATAGTTAAAATTAGTTTAAACTGAACCTGAACGAAGATTCAGCTCTAACCCCAGACATTAATTTATGAGCGAAAGTATGAACATTCTCTCTAAAAGATCTGGGGACTGGTATGTACCTATAGATAAGATAACCTCCAAAAATCAAAATTGACAATTTGAATGAGTATTTTATGACTTTTGAAGTAACAGATGGGGGAGGAATAGTAATAATGGATTTGACAAATTTCTCTTGGCTATGTGGCCAGAGTTTTATGATGCCAGGTACATGACCAATTCCTACCACACCTACGATGCGGAGAGGCTCGTTGGGGTTTTCTGCATGTCCTAAAATAGAAAACAAGATATATGTTTGGTGCTTGTCTTTTACAGCTTGTTCGCTCAAAAAAAAATTATACTAGATACTTGGTTTTGACATTAGTTTGTTAGGCTTCTGTCTCAAGGGAATTCAGAAAACTTATAAACCAGTTACAATCTACATTCTATATATGCCTCTTTAGAAACCTCCAGAGAAGCTACTTATTTATTCTAAAAATTAATATTGTTCTAATGTTTATACTTCTGTTACCACAATTTGTGTTCGAAGATTATTATTTTGCACATTGAACCTGGTATCACTATCATATGAAACGACAATAAACTGGCGGGTTGCAATGGAGGGTCAAATAGATCCACTCACTTTGAACGTAACTCTATATGAGGAAATATTTTACATACAGAATTTGAAATGAGATACTATTAACTTTAATATTGATTTTTTTGGCAAACTCTGAAGATATCCATCTCATTATTTCTACCAAAACAAATTCAAGTAAAAATTTTTTTTGAGAGATTACTGTAGAAATACTTTAGAGCATAAATGTTTGATTTCAATTTATAATTATATATGAGTTTACGTATAATCTTAGGGCTAGTACTAGAGTGTCACCAAGATTTAGCCAAAGCCTCGGTAGATAATAACATTATCCTGAAGTGGGTTAAAGGGTACGACAGGAGTAAAGGTAATCACATTGCCGACTCTTTAGCCATGAATTTTAGGACCCAGTGGTATCTAAGGCCTGATGACTTTGACAATTGCGGAACTAGCCAAATGTTACACCCATGTTCAATCCTTAAAGAGATGGGATGAAATCAAAGGATGCAATCTTGCCAGGATCACCTTGGGCGACCCTGGAAAGCTGGCGCCGAAGAAATATCTGGCGATGAGCAGGAAAAATCTACGCTTAACAGTAGAATTTCTGACTGGCCACTGTCAACTAAGGAAACACCTCCATAATATGGGGCTAGTGGACACACCTCTATGCAGGATGTGTGAACAGGAAGATGAGACTGTCGGGCATGTCCTTTGCGAGTGTCCGGAGTTATCGTCAATAAGAGAGTGTGTGTTCTGCGAGTCTTGGCCTACACCTGCCAATATAAAGGAGATGTCTCCCAGTGACCTGTCCACCCTCTTGGAAAGGAAAGGATGAACGATGACCTAGGAGGACAACTCCTCGAAAGGATGTACAATGGGTTACATGTGGCTGTGGGCTTACACTCACCCTCCCTACTCTACAGATACAGATATATATGAGTTTAAAACATACTTTTTCTGAAAACTTTCATATATAGACACAATATTTTATTAAAATTAAAACTTTATGAGCAATGTTCAGTAAACTTTGCTTTTCATTTATGTTCACAAGGGTTCCTTGAATTTATATAATTTGAATAAAAGCCGGCTGCTTCGTAGTATGTGAAATTTATTGATTGTCGAGCATGCAAGAGAGAGGTAAAAAGGGGAGTGTATACTTCGTTTTGATTAAGATATATCTAAGTAGCTAATGAATAATGAATAGACCAGCTCTGAATATATGTTCAAGCAAGATTAGTAGAAATGTGCCTAGAATCCATTTTTCATTTCCATGTCAGTTACTATGTTTTGGCTTGGAACAGCCAAAGTGCTCTAGAAACAATTCACAGAAGCCTTGAATTTGTCTTTCCCTCAAATGTAGCTTTTGAAATTTTCAAGGGCAAGTATGAAAAAACTTATTTTTTGAAGTTCCACTTCTGGAAACTTAATTTCTATTGGAATTATTTTATTATAAATACTATTTAACTCGATCTTCCGTTTGCTCTTACCATCTGATCCCCTGGATTTCAACTTGGAAAGAGCAGCTGCCTGTAGAGAATTAGTTAAAAAAATATCCCTTTCATCTAGGAAAACTTCACGAAAAGCTGGATATTCACCAGCTAAATCAGCTAAAAGTTGTTCCAGCATATCCCTGTTTTTACATTTCTCAATCTCTTCGATGCTACAAGAAAACATATAATAAAAACTAGAGAAAGGCAATGCAGGAAATCATTTATATTCCTTGGAAGGTATTGACTTGCCTGACAGGTTCCTTTGAAGTTAAGAGATGCCAAGCTAGTTTAACAGTTTGAAACCATGAAAGTCTTGCAAGTGCTCTTTGCAAAGTGATATTAATAGGGCGATCACCCAGATGGATACCACAATTGGGAATTTTTGAAGCCTTAAAAACATTACTATAAATTATGAATTGATGTAGTCAGCTACACATTGAAAAATACTACATTTTTTATGAGGTCAATATCATTATATCATTATACCACATATAGAAAATTAATGAGAGAAATTGAACCTGCTGGAGTCTCTGGAAATCAATAAGGGCAAACATTCAAGTTCCCTATTGAACAACCCACCAGAGGTTAACCACTCACTATTGTTAGACCTTTTCACATAAGATCAATAATTTTATTCATATTCAAAACATACCTACTGTCCAAGAATTAAGATTGAAAAGATGATTGAAAAGATGAAAATTGTTTAAACATCATCATGGATAGGATGATAGAAATTGAAAAGTCTAGGAGGATACAGCATATACTATGTGAAAGTGTCTAAAAGTGTCTTGAAGAATGGACATGGAATAAAAAAAACTTCACTTGAAGTTGATGAAAGTGGTACATGAGACTAATCTTTCAGATGATTTCGAAAGTTTAGGTATAGAAAAGTATGGAAAGGTGAATGTGACTTGGTTGGTGAAACCAGCAAGAAAAGGTATCACAGTTCAGATGTGTGTGAAAAGTGGTCTGTTGGATTCACCATATTCCAGAAGTTCCAATTTTACATTTAACTGTTGATACACACATTTCTTTTGACACACCTCAAAATGATTCAATTGTCAAACTGGATATTGACCATTGTAGTCAGCTACACATTGAAAAATACTACATTTTTTATGAGGTCAATATCATTATATCATTATACCACATATAGAAAATTAATGAGAGAAATTGAACATGCTGGAGTCTCTGGAAATCAATAAGGGCAAACATTCAAGTTCCCTATTGAACAACCCACCAGAGGTTAACCACTCACTATTGTTAGACCTTTTCTCATAAGGTCAATACTTTTATTCATATTAAAAACATAGCTACTGTCCAAGAATTAAGATTGTCATTGTTTTTTCAAATTCTACCTATCAAAATGTAAATGTTGTCCATTAACCTGCTCATTAACTATTAACCAATCAACTTAAGTAACTTACTGTTGTACATAAGAATTGTAATCCAGTGTGTAATATTTATTACTACCGATGAAGCTACGGTTTTAGTAAAATGTCTCTAGAATAAAAGAAAAAAGTGAAAATTGTTTAAACATCATCATGGATAGGATGATAGAAATTGAAAAGTCTAGGAGGATACGGCATATACTATGTGAAAGTGTCTAAAAGTGTCTTGAAGAATGGACATAGAATAAAAAAAACTTCACTTGAAGTTGATGAAAGCGGTACATGAGACTAATCTTTCAGATGATTTCGAAAGTTTAGGTATAGAAAAGTTTGGAAAGGTGAATGTGACTTGGTTGGTGAAACCAGCAAGAAAAGGTATCACAGTTCAGATGTGTGTGAAAAGTGGTCTGTTGGATTCACCACATACCAGAAGTTTCAATTTTACATTTAACTGTTGATACACACATTTCTTTTGACACACCTCAAAATGATTCAATTGTCAAACTGGATATTGACCATTGCTTAAATATTTTCATAGATAATATATTTTTTCATTTCTATCAACAACTATATTTCATTATAACAACAATTGTTTCAATTATTGTTCCAAAATGTTTGATGTATATTTTACAAACTTTTACCTACTTCTTTGAAAGCAACTCTGAATTCGCCTCCAGGTGCCATTCCAATTTCTTCGGTTAAGTGGGCACTCATATTGAGCAAAAGCAAGTACATCAAACCATTATAGACCCCATTAGATCTAATGGTAGACATAATTTTTTGCATATCAATATTCTTAGCTTCTCTTAAAACTGTTTCTTCATCCAAAGATAGAATATTGATTCTTGAGCTGCATAGTTCCAATATCACAATATTTGGAGTAACATTTGTAATAACCTAGAAAAGAATAAAATATATTAAAATTTGTCAGTACCTAAAAATCAAATCAACAGTTGATTTAATGGTAATTATTTGTTGAACAGTTAGCATTTTGTAAAAAAAGAAATGGAAGTGGCAAATGAATGAAATTTCACAATCTATTTCAGAAACGATTTGATCGTTTCCGGTGTGGTTTGTGAAATTACTAAGGATATTCATCAAGTAACAGCATAGTCAATTGAAAAAAAAATGGAAAAAGTCAGTTACATGCGAAAGTAAACAAAAGTTTCGTTTTACAGGTTTTTATTACTTGAAGTAAATTCCTGGAATGATTAATTTTTTAACAGTTTCCACTTTCAAGTGGGATACCTCCGAAGGTAGACCTGAGGGCCAAGTTTTGACCTCAGATTCATAATCAGTGAACAAAAATACATAGGTCCAATAAAAATCTTTTTAAAAACCAGCGTGATCCTTCAAAGCAAATGAATACTGATGAATATTTCTTCCATACCTTTGCATACTATATATAATACATCAAAAACATTTCTGACCTTTACAACATCTTCCTGTGATTCTTTGCTGAAATGAGCTGTTCCGATTAAATAAACTTTGGCACCAGTCTTTTCATGCTTCAATAACGTAACAGTTTGGGGTAAATTGTTATCAAAATCATCATCGGATTTGTTACTTGATGATTCCACATCACCATAACCAATCATTTCCATAGGGTCACTTTTATCCGAGCCAGATCCATTATCTGAGCTTGTTTCTACTTTAACAGTACTTTCTGTAAGTTCTGAAAAAGAAGGAAGGATCCATAGACAAACTCTATTGATATGAGAAATATCTTACCAAAATTTGTTAAGGAATGATCCATAATGCTTATTTCGAGCTTAAGTCAACTAGTCTAAAAAATCAAACCTGAAAACAACAAAACTTTTAATTATTTCTGCCAACACTTGACAGTTTATTTGAAAGATTGATAGAGTGACATTTGATTTGACGCTGATGACAGTAATTATTGAAAGGGATAGTCGATATAAAAATCATTTTGTTGAAGCCAAAGCAGTAATTTGCGAGCCCCGGAGGATGTTGTGAATTAATTTCACATCTAGTATTGAAGTTGAGATTATTTATTGTTTTATATAGTTACCATTATTGTTGTCAGTTTTGTTTTTGATTAAAAAGCAGAAAAGTCAAATATAATCTTATTTTGCCGAAAATAAGTAGTTTGCCCAAACATAATGATAATAAATAAGTGAAATAAATGATGAATCTGATCATGAAGAAATTTCACACAGAAACAGGATATATTGTTATATCTCTCTTAGTAAATAACATTTAATTTTTAAAAAGAAAAGTCATATTCAATATCATTGTTTGTTTTCGAGAGAGTTGAAGTTTGGTTATTTTTGGTCATAATAATGATGATAAATGAAAAAACAAGATCCAAAATCATGCCTGTTAATTTTCGAATATTCCTACAATTTATTTTCTCAGCAGAAAGAATTTCTTTTCGAAAGAAATTATCTCGACAAGCTTTCATTATACTTACTATAACATTTCCTTATTAACGGGAGGTTGAATAATTTTCTTCTGAAAATACTCGTACATTCAAGTTTTATAGCACTAGGTGTATTACGACATAATAATAAACACCAAGCACTATATATTTGTGATTTTGTAAGTGATAAAATTAAAATATAACGGAACAATATATCGCAATGAATCGCTAGGCAACTTGGTAGTACAAAATAGTGCCTCTCTCAATTCAACCATTGTCACTGAATATCTTGATAATATATAGTTTCACAACGATGAATTAGTAATATAGCAATACTTCGTTCTGTATAAGTTACGGGGAGTAAGTTGAATTGATGTTCAGTAACAGTCGTTCCGAAGTTCTCTTCACAAAGTCATCTTTGCATCTGTCGTATCAATATTCTATATCCATCAAAAGTCATCATTCAACTCAAACTATTCAAATGTCAAGTTGATAGAATGTAATAATGAGCCAAAACAGGATAATTTTTTGTTAAAGACAACAGAGGTTGTCTGTTGATTTCTTTATAAAGCCATCAGTAAAGGTGATGACATCACCCTCTACGAAAATTCAAATCATTTAATATCAAAAAGATATGATACGTCCTCTATCTTCTACTTCAGCTTCCATTGCAAGGCAACTAAATGAACTTGTGATCCAATACAATAAAGAAAACATATTCCAATACCAGACAGTGCTGTTACGACCCGACGAAGTTCAGTCTAACACCATTGATAAGACCTTGGCGGTTCAAAACAGCGCTGTCTGGTGTTGAATCATAAATGCGTTGTATTTGGGCTCTGGTTTTCGGCTAGTTTCCTTGTATGAAAGACAGAAGACGAATTTCTTCGATAGTCGATGTCGAAGATTGGCTTTGCAACTGATCCACTAAGAAAGCCTTGTTTATCTTAGACATTCGAGGATTAACTCTTCTATTGATCCCATAGATAGCGTTTTTTTTAGGACAGTCAAGTTTTGTTACTCTGAGGTTTCAGCATAGCACCACTCAAGAGACCTTGACGGGTCGAAACAGGACTGCCTGGTGTTGGATCACAACTTCATACGATTGAAAATTATTCTGCCAGCTGGGCGCCGTTTCCTAAATGGATTAAATCGTAACAATAATGAAAAAATGACTAAAATGAAATACGAAGTGGATATTTTGACCCATCGCAATACTTTCAAGTGCTTCCAGAAGCAGAGTAACTCCATTTTTCAAAACTAATAGTCATTTGCATTTGGTAATAAATTAAAATTGTAAAACACACAATTTTTGAAAACATTGAGAAATCATAACCAAAAAATGTTCATCTGATACTGATGACATATTTCGTTGAAGGTGTTCTGTGATTTAGATTTATTCATTGTTATTTGCATTTTTACGGGAATAAAGATGTTTAGAGGATTTGTAAGTTTTTGTTTTTTTTTTATACATTTCATTCAACAATTTTTCTTTCAGTTATCTTTTATAATTGGAGTATATACTGGAATTTACGTTAGCCAGAATTATGATGTAAGTTGTTGTAAATTAAAGGGCTTTATCCAAAGTATAGGGAGACATTTTTTGGGAAAGAAAGGTCTTCAATGTTTCGAAATAAGACACTTGCTTATTGCCTCTTCAGCACCAATATGGATAACATTACAAGATAAAGCACTCAATCTATTCATAAAATTACGACCTTATGTGACAAATGAGTTGAATCCACTCATGTCACTGATGACAGTATGTAATGACAGTCACTCGTTTGATTTAATCCCAGCAATGAGAATCTTGTCTAAATTGAAGGTGGTATATTTTTAGAAGAGATTAATTTTTGGGAAAGAAAGGTCTTGGCTTTCTACTCCTCCATATCCATACAAAAAATGTGGAAATATTCTAAAGTCCAAAGATGTGTAGGTCATGCAAAGAATTAACTTTCAGAGGAAGAAAAACCCTTCTCAAAACAGCTACTTTCATATCTAAAAAAAAATCTGTTTAAAATATGTTTTTTCGTTAACCAGCTGTCGCACTCCTACGAACGACAACCCTCAGAAGGCGAAAGTTGTGCGAGCTAAGAATTAACGAGGTCTTGCCTTTCAACGTGTGATTCCTAACACGGGTTGGACGGTAATAAGTGAAAATCGATCGTTCAGGCTGGGGCTTGAACCACCGACTATCACAGCAGTCAATTCGAGTGAGTAAACAAAGCACCCACATCGAACCGGCTGGCTACCGATACAAACATTGAATTACGCGAAAGAAAAATACTTTCGAGACACCTTTCTATGAACACTGAATTATACAAAAAAAAACTTTTCACAATTCTGTTTGTATTCCATACATTCGTTATGGAATTGAATCAGATATCATTCACAGGACTCCTACACAATATATCAAGTGAAAGATGTAAAATTTCACTTTTTTATTCCTCCACCCAAATATTCTAGCCGAATTGGAGGTTCCACAAATGCTAACCAATCACTGGCATGGGTTGGTAGTAGACCCATACTGTGGCACTTATAGAGTGCTAAACCTATATTTACAAAATTACCGAACACATAAACAATCATTTGCAAAATGGCACTGGACGTTTCCATCATTTTGAAAGTCGCCTTTGTAGACCAAATAGCTTGTAATGGTCGCATTAATAACATTCCTACCATCATGATAGGAAAAATAGATATGGAATTTCCAGCCATATACATAATGAATAGGTTCATTGGTACTTGTTTCATTGGAGCCAAAGCAAGATCCCAAGACTTCTTTGTTATTAGACGGGAAACGTCCGTTTTTTTTGATACTTCACTGTTGGAACCAACACTTGATGCGTTGTAGCCCGGTGGTGATGGTAAAGATTCGGCAGATACACGGGTTATTCTAGAAAACGATTCAGTAAAATACGTGTATAGGGAAAAACAAAATTCTTACTTAATATTTTCAAGACTCCATTTGGCCCTTTTGTTTTGTTGTTTATTCGACATGTTTGGATTTGGATAGAATTATAAGTATGTAGGTACTGGTAAATATTAGATATAATTATTTAATAAATATTGAGATTTAGGTTATTGAATGAAAGATGACATCAGAGATTAAAATTTTTGACAAATGGCAGTTCATAGCCAAAACAGTGTTGTCAATAATCTTCTCAACTAAAGTTGTATTTGAGCTAACAATTGTAGCAAATAGTAGAATTTTCTGATTGATTCGGCCGTTACTTGATGAAGATCCATAGTAATGGAAGTTTGTGGAGATCAAACCGTGAGGTGTAGTTTTTGAAAATAGTAAGAAAGTTTATTGTTTACAAATTGATAGACGTAGCCGTTACTACATAGTAGAAGATTATCATGAAATATGAGAAATGAAACTTTCTGTTTTTTACCACTTTTATGAAACATAAGAAGTTTAATTTCTCAATTTTCATGCTGATTTTCTACCACGTAGTAACGGCTACATCCATCAATTTATTGCTTGCAAGGTACGTTTGCCTTATAAAGTAAGATTTTTTTCCTGTAACTATATCAATAACTAGTGTCAACGAATTTCACTAGTTCGGACTTCCATTGTCTACTATATAAAATGATTTGAAATCCCTGAAACAAGTAAAAAAAAGAATAATTAGACAAGAATAGTTGAAAATAACAATTATATTAAGCAACAATAAACCTGAAATGAAATGATAGTGAAATAACCTACAAGTAAAAATATAATAATTGAATAAATAAAAATTAAAGGAATGAAAAAAGAAAATAATAAAAAAA